CTGAGCTTTCCCTCCGGCTGGCGCTTCTCCATCGGAGAGGGATTTATTCCCCATCTCGAAGTGAGTCAGAGGCGACTGGGCCAACTCTTGGGCCCGTGGCGTTGCCATCCATCATCATTACAGGAAGGGAGAGCAGTTTGGTCCCGTTGTGATACGGCAGGCAATGTCCCGGCCACGCAGCCTGCAGAGCTGCTGGGCTTTGCTGGGTGGTTTTGCTGCTCCAGAGCCAGCAATGAGGAAAATCTCTTTAAAACCAGTGATATCTTTAAAATAAAACCCCTTTTCTTGTCCATAGTCTATCCACACCCCTAATATTTCCTCTGCCATTTTTAAGGCAGTGCTTATGCAGTAATTAAACACACACAGAAGGGGCTTTGGTCATAGTTATGGGTTAGGAGGACTTTAGGTGTGATGAGCTGTGCACAATTCTCAGCCTTAGTGCCAGAGCGTGGCTGTGCGCAGATGTAGATGGGATTTCCCACACCAAATACCCTCCTTTCTTATTTTGCAACACCTCCCATCCCCTCCCCTTGGGCTGGAGCTCGGGGCTGGGTTTGCAGGGGGGAGAAATGGCCTTTGCCAGCTTGCAGAGGTGTTGGATGCTTTCGAAACACATCCCCACTGGGGCGCACGCCTCTGACCGGCCGGGTGCTGCTGCTTCATTGGAGTTATCAGGAAACTGCTGGTCCAGGGGCTGGTTTCTGGCTGATCCTGAGTGGGTGGATGAGCTCTAGTGCTTCCCGGAGGAGTGGGATGTGTGTTTGTTTGGACACAGGGATTGTTCCCAGGAGAAATTTCCTCTTGGCTCAAAGGGAAGATAAAAAGTTAGGGGTTTTCCCCTCTCGATTTTGGAGGAAAATCCCTGCTTTCCTGGAAACCGGAGTCACCGGGAAAACAGCTGCTGCCTTCAGACAGAAGAAATCCCCAAATTCTTTGATTTTTTTCCCCATATACACAAATCTTTCCTGCTTTCTCCCTTTAAGGCAAATCTCTGACTGCGATCCTGCCTCGGTAATGCCTTGACTCCGCTCTGACAGCTTCTGTGCGGGGAAGAAAAGAGCCGTGTTCCCGGCCACAAAACCTCCCCGCTCCCGAGCAAACACTGTCCCTTTGTGCCCGCCTCAATCCAGCAAACCTTGCGCTGCTGAAAGAGAGTGAACTTCTGAATATTCCCACTGAAAGCTCCTTTCGGCAGGACGCCAGCCACCCACCGGGACAACAAACGGGCACATTGTGGGACCCTGGGGGCTGCTGGCCACCGCGGATGCCACGCTTGCCGTCGCGCTGCTTTGTCACCGCTGCCAAAGCCGTTTTACTTCCCTGAACCGAGCCTGGGGAGTTTTGTGTTTCGATTTTTCCCTCGTTGCACCCCGGTGCTGATGAATGCACGCTGGAATTTGGCTTTCTGCAAGCGGGCTGTGCTCAGACTGCAAATATCCCGCAACGGGGGGAGACTGTTGTGAGCATCCACAGCACACTGGGACCGGGGTGTCCTCGCCGCTGGGACCCTGCCTGCGCCGCAGCTCCTCACCCTCCTCCTCCTCCTCCTGAGGAAGGCTCAGTTTGCTGCCCCTTGCTTCATCCCGGTGCATCTTCACCCCATCCCCGTCCCCTTGCTGGTTGCTGCGCTTTGGGAGAGTGTTGGAGCATCTGAAGCATGTGGCATATGCGAGGTTTTTATTTTGCTCAACGCAGTCAGGCTGGGGTTGGAGATGGAGGCTCAGGAGGTCCCTGAGGGCAGCCCAAGGTGGGTGGTGGTGGTGGTGGTGGGTGCCCCACGCCACGTCTGGGACCCCCAGATCCTCATTTCCAACCTTCCCATGCCAGGGAGATTCTCCCACTGGATGGCAGCATTAGAGCAAGGAAACCTCTCCGAGAGACCTCGCAGGAGAGGGGACATTTCTCGGGAGAGGCTTTTCCCTCTGGTTATCCAGCTCTGGGGAGGTCTGTGCTTGGGCTGAGGACATGCAGGTTCAGCTCATTTGTGTTTGCACCATTCCTGCCACTGGTCCTGCGCTCAATGCCCCGGTCGGTGCTTGGCAATCACTCCCAGCTTCACAGAACTGGGTGCCATGTAACACCCTTCACCTGCCCTGCGCTGCTCCCCACCCTCATGTTTGTGGGTGCAGGGAGCCATGCTGGGACAGGGGGCTGGGAAGCAGCTGGGACACCCTCACCCACGACCAGGAGCAAAGCAACCCCAGATTGGGTGAGAAGAAGAGATGCCAGCCCTCATGGGACACCCAAATCAGGCCTTCTTAGCACAGTGCACCCCCTGTCCCCCAAAGCCATCTCTGCTCCAATTGCTGGGGTGCAGAGAGCAAGAGTCCAAAAAAGGTTGCACATTTTTGCATGAAAAAAGCTTTAGGGACTATTTCTTGGATGGTGATTGCAGAGGAGGCTGCAAAACTCCTAAGGATTAGAAAACAAATATAGTCTGGCTGCTTTTCCCTTCACCTAATGGTTTTAATCCCAAGCGTTTCAATCCAGCGTTGGGATTTCTTGGAGGTGCTGTTTGGCAGAGGCTCTTGGGCAGCACTGGGTGGACTGGGAGAACTGGTGCTGGCCTCTTGCAAATATAGTGCAGGGGAGCTGCTCCTTCCCGAGGCTGTTTGATGGTCAGAAGGTGCGAAGACGTCTCAGTTTACAGCCTCCTGGCTGGGCTGGCATTGCCGTTCGTGAGCGGGCATCCATAGATGGAAAGGGTCGCGCTGCAGTGTGGCCCCAGGTGTAGCATGGGATTTTTCCCTGTCCCTCCCGTACTGATCTGGTGTCTCAGTCCTGGGTTAAAGTGCCATTTTGAGTTGTTTTGGCCTTGGGAGCCTCTTGCAGGGGTTCATCCCTGCAGGCTTCAAAGCCTATGGCTCATTTACCATCTGGAAGCCCCTGGGTTTGGCTCCCAGGTATTTGCTGCTCCTCTTTCTGCCCGATTCAAAGCCCTTGTCCCTCCTCTTTGTCCCACAGGCAGGGCTCTGGTGCAGAGTTAGCCCTCAGCTGAGCTTGGAAAATTCGTGGCATGGCTGGAGACAGGTGGGGGGCACCGGAGCCCAACCTCCTGGGTGGCTTTTGTGAAGCCCTGGGGATCCCCACCCCAAAGTGTCATGGTTCAGTGACCTGCCAGTGGTGGGGTCACTGGAGACACTGGGGACCAGGGTGTTGGTGCCAGTGGTCACGATGGCTTGTCCCAGGGTGTGCAGGACAATGTTGAAGGGGACTGGGACTGGCAGTGGGGAGCTGTTTTTTCTAATTGATTTAAAAAAGAAGGAAATCTGGGATTTTGCAAGCTAGGCTGGGAAGGGGAGGGCAGGGGAGCTGCAGGGTTGCTCCCACTCCTCAGCAGCACAGGGTGGTCACCTACTAAGGGTGGGGGTTGGTCCTGCAGCCCCACGTCCTGTGCTGACTCCAGACCTTACCCCATCTCCTACAAAGAACAAGAAGTTCATTGCAAGCTTGGTGCAATCTCCAGGGTCTGGGGAGTACTGGGATGGTGAGACCCCCCCACTCCCCAGTTATACTGGCAGGGCTGCAAACCACGACCCCTCGCCAAGCCTTAACCCAAGGAGCTGGGTAAGATTTGCTAATCTCAAAATATTGTTGGCATTCAGAACAACGATTTACTGCGTGTTTTGCCACAGCAAGTACTTTCCGAAAGGCCATGCTAAGTTTACACTGGAGCTGTTGGGATCAGATAACCGGGCCCTGGCTGCTCCTTCCACCCCCCCCCAGTCCCTCTTGGTCACTGTGCTGGGGTGCAAAAGGACATCAGCTTCACCTGCGCCCCACAAGGAATTGGTGACCGCCGTCATATATAGCTGAAATAAAGGACAACCAAGAGCATTTTTCCTCATCCGGGAGTGGGATGTGGGCCATGGACTGGTTCGCAGGGAGATGTGAAATCATGGAGGACCTTGACACCTTTCTTTGCGAGTCACGCTGCCAGGGACAGAAAATAACCAGCCTTGGTGCCTGTCCTGGCTGTGTCCACTTCCCCAGGGGCTTTGCAGGTGGTGAAACTAAATCAGCTTCTCACCTTCAGCGGCGCCCAGGGCTGGGCGAGAGCCTTGTGTGTTGCTTCCCATTCCCGCAGCATTTTACCACCACAGGGGATCTCCAGGGGCTTTGCAGGTGCTGGGTAGGAATGGCACCTCCAGCCACCACTGCCTGTGGGATCCCGGGGCATTTCCAGCCTGCAGAAAGGATGGGCTCCTGAGTGGAGCAAGTGGTAGGGATGATCCCTCTGTCTGTCCTGCTGTTTGCAGGGGATGTCCTTCTTCCTAATGGTCAGCATTTGGGAGGCACAGGATCTCCCATCTCAACTCCTTGTCCTCAGATCCCTTGGGATCTCTGTCACCTCCTTACCCCCAGGAGATGGGAATGAGCCCACCACAGGCTCTCGTGGCAAAAGCCATCACCAGCCTCAGCCCTGGCCCTTGGTCATGGCAGGCTGTAGGTGGTGGCCTTCCCCTGCAAAAATACAAGAGTGTCCCCTGCACTGACATGAACATGGACAAGGAGGAGGATGAGGATGGAGCATCCTCTTTCACAACGGTTCCCTTGCAGGTTATTGGGTCAACAGATCAAAACCCATATGCTCTCTGAAGCAGATGTCTTGGTCTAGCTGCTCTGGAGGTGCTTTGTGGTGATGCTGTCTCCAGGGAGGGCTCAGGGCTGTCACACTGTGCTACAAGGGGACAGGAGGGATAGGGCAGGAAGAAGAACCCAGGTGCCCCAACCACCCCGCGTCATGTTGAGCATTCAAAGCAGGGCTTGGTCAAATCTGGCTTTTGGGACACCAGGGACACCAAGGACCAGGCATAAAGGGAACAGCATCATCCTAAAGCCTGGCATGATATCTGGAGGGTTTCAGGTGGATCCAGGGTGAGAACAGCCTGATTAAATGTCCCCATGATGCTCCCTGGTGGCAGCAGGGAAGGGTGCAGCTGGGCCACGGTTGGACAACCCCAAACTGGTTTGTCTTCCACGTTTACTGGGACCTGCAGGGAGTCACTGGGATTTGGGCATGGTCCAAACCTCCTCATAGCCCCTCCAATCCAGCAAACTCCCCGGGGGGGTCACAGCTCACAAATGAAGGTACCTGGGCTACAAAGGTACCTGGGGTAGGTCTGGGACATGCAGCCAAAAAAGCTGTTGGCTGCTGCAGCTCTGGTGGGTGACCTGCATGGACTCTGCATGAGCTGGGGTGAGGGCTGGAGGGTGCAGATAGGAGGGAATGGGGAGAGCAGAGGGAAAGGGGGCAGCTGAGGGTGCAAGTGAAAGCACCTAAGGCAAGAAAAGGAGAGGTGTGCATGGGAGAACATAAGGGAGGAGCTGGGAGGGGAAGTGGAGATCCAGTGTTGGTCCTACAGGAGAGGAGCAATGGCCTTGAGGGAACCTTAAGGCGGCCTCAGGTCCTCGATGGTGGTACAGGGACTTGAGGAAATACTGGAAGTCAAGCGGGACCAGGAGTGTGTGCCTGGGGTGTAACTGGGTAACAGCACAGTGCACCTGGCAGGGGTTTTCGTACTGTGAAGTCCTTACATCAGGGCTAGACACCTTCCCAGGGACCAGTGGTTACTGGGCAAACTGGGACACTAGGTGCTGCCTGGGATGGTGGGCACGGAGATGAGCAAAGAGGGGCTGTGAGTGGTGATGTGCAGTGATGAGCAAACATCTGAGCTCCCTACTGGTACCAACTGATAAAGAAATTTGCCCTCAGTGCTGGTGGGGCCCAGGTCTGAGCCATTTCCTCCTGCTGAGCCTCTCAGATCCCCATTTGCTGGCCCAAGAATTGCTCAGGGACAGAAGCAGTGGCTGTGCCCCCCAGGTGCAACCCCCATATGTAAAGGTCCTGAATAAAATAGCAAAGGTGGCTTGCAGCATTTTTGGGCTCTCTGTGTTTAATGCAGAAGGGAAAACGCAAGCTGCGGTTTGCAGCCTTCCCCTGACGCAGATGGGACCAGGCAGGGCAGGTGGTGACAGAGCCTTATTGGCATCCCCAGCTGCTGTCCCCAGCCCTTGGTAGAGGTGACCCCTGGAGGGCTGCGGATGGCAGGGCTGGCACAGGCACCCTGCCTGCCCATCCTAGGTGAGGTCCTGCTGGCAGACCTGGTGGTGAGGCAGGATTTGGAATAAAAAAACCCCACCAAAGGCAGAGCAATGCCCAGGGTTTGGCATTGCTGCTGGGAGCTGGGGACATGGGAGGGGACTGATGCTCTGCCAAGGTGCGTGAAGGTTTCTGCCACCCATCACGTCCTGTCCTGGCCGTAACTGGGTGCAGGTGCTGGAGGTCACTGCTCCTGCCCCACTGCCCTGGTTTAGTGGGACAGAATTTGAGAGTCAGTGTTCTGTTGAGGAAAGCTGTTATTCTGTAAGGACTACAATGCTCTGTTTCATGGGAACAAAGTTGATAAAACTTTGTTATAGATTTCAGCTAATGCTGGTTTGCAGGTTGCCATAGTGCTCAAGGTCTTGAAGGTCTTGAGATGAACAGATGCAGAGTCTGGGAGGAGCAGAAACCCAAGGGAGTCAATCCCGAGGTGACCCCAGGCTGACCAAGTAATACCATTCGTACCATCAACATCACATTCACTAT